ATAATTTTTATTGCTTATGAAAACTTTGAACCCTCGATGTGGAAAATCGAATAACCACCTCGCAAAGCAAAAACTTTGTTTTTGCTATAAGAAATGCTCAAAATTGAAGTTGATTCTGTTTGGTCAGTATTGCATACGGTAGGTAAAGCTCGAGCGCGGACCGCTCGGTTGAATCGAATTAAATAAAACTCGAGGGTAGTTTTCGTAGTCCTGGCGGTCCTCGTGCGCCCTCAAGAGAGCAAAAAGCAACTCGTCCGCCACGCGCCACACGGGCGCACACTACCGCTTTCTTTCCAGTTTCCATCTCCCACCGCGTATTGATTATTTTTTGCCCTCTTCTTCTTCTTCGGGAGTTATATATTTTACGACGCGCGCGCGCCTCCGGCCTGTAGCCGTTTAAAGTCGCGTCCTTCGACGCAAACTTCGCCGGCGGACCGTTTCGCATTATCTTATTCATGCCGCTGGAAAGATCCGCGAACTTGTGCTGCCAAGTACGTGGAAATAGCTGGCGGAGGCGGGCCGGATAATTTTTCCTCATTTTTGCGCTCATAACGTCACGTTCCGGCGTGGCGCGGCGCGGCGGTTGGCGGCGAGTACATAAACTTTTTTCGTTTGCGGCATAAACTACCCGCCGCGTTAATTCGCAGTGACAAATACCGTGTCGGGAATTAGGTGTCGCGTCGTCTTATTCGCGTTTTTTTTCTGTCCCCAGCGCCAAGCTAAAAGTCACGAGTCACGACAAACGGAAAAATGAACAAGCGCGGGCGAATTACGGCTCATCCGTCTCAAGGAATGTAGGCGAGATAATCTTGTTGTTTTTCTAAGCAGGCGTCGGGAATAGTCATAACTTTTGACGCCTCTTACCGCATGCGATTTTATTTATACGAGCGCAAATATTTGTGCTACTTGGGCGCTAAAAACACTACAAAAATAAACCAGTTATAGCAATTCTCCTACAGAAGATTCATATCAAAATTTAGTTTCAAAGTTTTATTTCTACATAGTCCACAGCATATTTTATTCAATTGATATTTAAAATATAAACTTACTTGGACTAAAGCAAAAAATCCCTTTATTCTGTGGCGAAAGTGGGCTAATAAAATTTTTATGCGGCGCATTAACATGAAAACACAATTTGGCGTGTTGAATCTTGCAGCGCAAGGCGCAATGAAATGTGTGAATATAAAATATTGGAATTTCCATATTACCTACTTTTTTCTTTCTTTCTTTGGCTGGAATTTTTCCATCAGAGTTCTTTCGTACTTTCCGTGTGCACCGCTAAGAGTGTGGAGAGTGATACTCGAATATCATTTGCATTTTATATTATTTCATGTTTCCATCAGACGCCTCGCGTCGCGACTTTGATTAAGTGCATAAAAATATTAAAAAACTTTTCGTGCGTTTGTATTAACGCGTTACTTGTTAAAGAGTTACAGTATTACTTTGAATTCTTCACTGAATATTGAAGTTTCTTCAATTGCAAACGTACAGAAATTAAATTTCTATCCATGATGAATATTTTGTATACAATTGTATGCAATTTTAAAATAATTAATAATTAATGAAAGCCTTTAAGCCAAAGTTTTTGCCAACGTTTGTTAACGTCGCTTGTTTCACTTAACGCCCGGCTAACGACGACGCAGCGCAATATTTACGCCTCGGAAAACGCCGCATTTTGCAAACTAAACTACTTCTGCAATTGCATTCCGAGAAAGCGCGGAAGATTCCAAGTGCGCTTATGAATTATTCCTCTGTCGAGCTTTTCAACGTTTTGTGAAAGGAGACGCATGGCTTGTCCCGCATTCTCGTCTTTTGCATAACACATAAACAAAATTCATATGCTAATCAAATGCACTTCCTCGTATGATGTTATTGGTAGTTAGTAGCAAGAATCAAAACACTCATAATTAGGTTATTGAACCTTTCTTTTAGGTCCAAAAACTATTCTGAGGAAATTTCCGAAAGGAAGAAAAATGTGAAGCGAGAGGGTGGTTATTACTATTGCGTCTTGGGAGATGTGGCGCATCCATCCCAGTCGATTTGCAGTAATTTTATAAATGGCTTGGACTACCCTAATGGAGGTGATATTGATGAGGGCAAGTTCACCCTGAAGACCGCAAACATACCGACTACATAAATAACCATTTGTGTTTTTATTGCAGAGTGTTTCAAATTGAGGGATTTTCAAAGTTTTTTTTCTCAAACTTGTCTTGTTATCAAAAATCGATGCAGCTCTAAGATTTTCCAACCCTCTGTGATAAATTACGGAGTACATGAGGTGGAAAATGTGCACATGTTAGGAATTTTTGATTTATCGATGATGGTCGAGACACAGCGACATAACGATACAACACGGGCACGTGGAAACCGTCCCTTTGTGCGCCCGACGTGCGCACATTAAGTTTGCGGCGGCGCTGAGCGACAATCACGAAAATCAATTTTTCAAAGTGCTCTTCACTTCACCGAGCGGTCTTTGTCGAACGGTCTTTAGCTGCTCGCATACACCTATACGCCAGAATCAAGATTGAAGTAGAAAAAAACATCGTGCAAACAAAATGCATCCACCTTTTTGCTTTGTATGCTATGAGGAAGGTAGAACTCTTGGGGGGTCGGAAAGTCATCAAAAAGAATTCCTAATTCGTCGCATCGCGGTAAACACGGCTGCGAGCGTACATTCTTATGATTAGTATTCGCGGTAAGTCCTTTCAAGTGCTCTTCGGCCGTACTCCTGATGGCATCAAAAGGCAACGCCGGCGCCATGATATCAAACGTGTTTTTGTCGCTTTGTACGTGACCCCAGCAAACCGCAAGCATGCGTATTCGTATGTACACATGCGTTTTGAGCGTATGCAGATTATTCAGGATTATGCGCAGCGCGGCGGAAACTGTGTGTGCATCGCAAAACCACCTTTTCCAGACACAGAGGGTGCGCGGTATTACCACGCTTTGCTGCATTCGACTTTTGTGCCGTACTCGCATGTGCGGTGCTTCTTCAGGCTCAGCGCGCGAAGAACAAGCATGACAACCGCATATTGAATAATCAAAGTTTAACTTTTACGTTGCGGCGAGTGTGCGCTCGCTCACACGAAATTAATATCATAGTTTCGGATTTAGTTTGCGTACAAAGTGGAAGCGTGAAACTTTCGACGGGCGGACGCGGTTGTCACGGAAAGATGGGAAAAAATTAATTAAATGTCGAAATTATATATTCGGAACTGCTGAGTGTGCAGCGCGAGCGCAACCCTTTTCCTAATCGCGTAATCGCCCGACCGGAGACTGTCCCGCTTCGTGAATCAAATTACACCAAATTGCGGATAATTATACTGCACTGCTGCAGTTTTTTTTGCAAGAGTTACGAGGTTAATTGCAATATTAAATCAATAATTGTTTTATGCACATAAAAATGCCATAAATAATAAAATACACCAAATTATTGCACAAATAGTTAATAAAAATTTAAATTATTGCATTTGTACCAATTTTATCATTGATTTGAAACATGTATGTGATTAAATTTTCGTACGTAATAAAAAAAGATTTTTATTTTTTTAATTACTATTGTTAAAATGTACGTACACGAATTATTGAAATTGAAACAGCATCATTTGTGTTTTTCGTTCGCGCTCGTGATTGTGGCTGGTTAATTATACATCTATTTTACCCAATGCAGGGAAAAATGTGCGCTCGCACCGGTAAAGTAATTGAAAATGCAGTTTGCAGGTTGTCAGTAGAATTTTAATGAATTTAATCTGCGACTCGTATTCAGCGTTCGTATAAATCAAGCTTTTCACAAACAAATATAATGCATATATTTATCGATTTAGAGATTACGGCGTGTTGGACCCTGGGTTGGAAGCTCAATTCCACGCCGCATTAAACAATTTTTTGTTCAACTAATTTCACTTTAATGGTTTATTAAATATTTTATTTCGAAATAATCTAATATTGATTGCATTGTGCGTTTTAACGGTCTTTGTGATATTTTTCATGATTGTATTTGGTGAGGATTTATTGAGTTGTGATGGTCATTCGAGCGTTGTTGATTGCATTTTTTTGTTATACTGATGGCTGAAAAATCGCAACGCATTTTTCGTGCGTTCTGCGTTCTGCAAGAAGACGGACGTAGAATGTGAAATTTATTTATCAATTGATAGAATGTTTGGAAGCGTAACATTTTTCTTTCGCGCGTTTTGCGCTGTCTCATGTCGTCCTCGAACGCAGAATCGCGAGCGTATTCGATTTTGTGTCGCAACGGGAAGAATGCAATACGATACTGTCTGCTCAACAATGGGAAATCCGTCGACAATGATTTATACATTTCCTTTTTTGGTCGCTGCCGCCGGTTTGAAAATCAACACAAAAGTAACATAATGTATCACGTCGAATGTAAATAATTTCGTACAAGTGCTAAAAGTTGAGAGTTTTAAATAATGGTTGCCGGAACAAGGGCCGGAATGGTCGTAGGTCGGCTTTTTATGTGTGGTTAATTATTTTAATACGACCCCCCACCGCTGGTCCGAGTTTTAAACGATTTTAATTCCGTTTTAAGTCCTCCGGCAGTGTGAGGGTTGGCGTTTACATGCGCACGAGGTGGTGACGAGCTGTTGTACCCCTCGCGCTAAAAGCATATTCGTTTTAATTAATTATGCAAACAAAGTAGACGCAGGCGGCGCGTCGTGGGAAGCACTGCATCTTATAGACTTCATTAGCTCAAGGTGTTACTCGAGCAATGTCGCGACTTGCACTCAAATCACAATTAACTCATGTAACACTTTAAACAAAACAAAAATAAAACAAAAAAATAAAACTGCACAAAAAGTTGGCTGGCGGGGTGAAAATTTGATGACAATCAAATCCCCAGGGCTTTGTCTGTCGGGCACCTGAAGTGCTTTTTAATTTTTTATATATTAACTCGGCGAGCGAAAGTTTTTATTTGATTTATATAACTTTGTTATAAAGTCCTAAAAAGTTTGCGGTTGGTGCGGTTTTTTTAAGCCTACCTTGAAACGCAGCCTCGAATTGGCTCTTTGCATTATCCTCAGTGTCGACGACGCCGCCGACGAGCGCCAGCAGGGCAAGCAGCCCCAAAACCGTGCACCGATGCCCCATGTCGCGCTGTGATCCTTCTGGTGGCCCCGCCAGGCCCACCGTTTACACACATTCCACCCCCGGGACCGTTAGGACACTCACCACATCACACATCATATCCCGCACTAATTGCACTAGTTATTATTCATTACTTCATCAACTGTTGCATGCTTTGCAGGTGCGGAGCTCGGCGCGAATTATGCTGAATGAAAACGGCTGCGAAATTGGTCGCGGACGGTGGCGGCGTGCGTAATTGACTCGAAACGGGCGCGGAAAACTTGCTAGAGAAGCTCCTTTTTTCGATGGTGTCGTGCGAGCGCACTACGAGTACATTGCAACGCGTGTGCTCGGTTGTAATTGACTATGGCGGTGAAATAGTATACTACGGTTCAATACTCCCTTACTCCCGCTGGCGCACGATCGAAACTCGGAAAGCGACGCCCTCTGAGTGGCGGCAAGAAGCTTCCGAGGAGGGTAGGTTTGGCTTGCTATGAATCCTGCAACGCCACCTTCATGTGCCATTTTGAAGCATATTAAGGGTAGCTTATTTTATTTTGTAGGCAAATGCAGGAATATCCTTCTAAAATAGCTGAAATGTTAGTTATTATATTTGTTATATGATGGCGAGGAGCAACAACAATATCCTGAATCCATATTTAAATGTTAATTCTTCCATGCTAAAAATAAGATAATTAGATATAGCACAAAAATTTAAATTAGAAAGTAAAAATGTGATAAAGTTAATTAACTTGCCTGTTTTCCCTCTCTAACAACATATTTCAAAATCACTAGACTAAACATCACAGACCGTTTCGAAATAGTTAGTTATTGTTTTGTATCAATATTATGCCCGCGACCGCGTTTGACGATCTGTAATTGGGGTGGCGAAAAGGTTTTCGCCGCGGTATAGCCATGTGACCCGCTGCACCGCCTTTGGGCAACGGGCTTTTGGTACCATGCGCAAGCACATCGTCCAAAATTTAGCACACACACAAATATAAACACAATAAATAAATAAATACAATTTAAATGAGCGCGAAGTTTAACGGTCGCGACTTATGTTGGCTCAAAAGAATTATGAGCAAATAATAAATAATTAGTTGATAATCTCCGGCATTAGGAATGATGCGCGCCTGAAAGAACCGAACTGAAAACCCGAATGAATTGAACAGATTTAATGAAGTATACCGACTTCCCAAAAATTAATAAACGTTGATTGGAATTACGTCTTCTTTTTTTATCGCGCCTGAAAACCCCGAATTGAAAATCGCGAGAAACAAAAAAGATATTTTCCGGAAAAAACTGATAACGATTTCTGTTATGATGATGGTATACACGTGCATTAGTTATCGCATAAAGATACAAGACATCCAGTTTGGTGTCAGGTGGACTCACCACTTAAAGACATCCGGCGTTTCTAGCAATGCTGGGTGGACTATCCCTGAACCAAGGACCTAGCCCCGAGTGGGTCTCCCCTTCGGCTGTCACATACGCAGCAAAATGCTTTGCGCATCCGGCAGTCAGAGGCACTCGTGACTACCCTCCGGTCCAAGTCATCACCACACCTACCATACATCCGGCTCCTAGAAACTGGGATCCTACGTCAGAGTTTCTCAGGAGGAAGCGTCGATATTTTCCGATCTTGGGTCCAAAACGCTGGTAGGATGCTTGAAGTGGTCTGGGCCTCCTCATCCATCATGGGGTTGGAATGTAGTACGATAGTTACGGACTTACTCGCGACACGCACTCGGTTTTCAATACTGGTATTCGGAAAGGACTTTGTTGTAAACATGGTACAACCCTACTTTGAAAGTTCTCTAGTAATTTGTTCAATAAAAAGTTAAATTGAACCGCCTCGCGACCCGCACTCGATGAGTATTTCGTTACACCTCTCCAGGTCAATCGCGAATTACGTTTATCACTTGTACCTGGAATGTAAATAATGATTATACATATTGGGTTAAGGAAAATAGGCAATCTGTTACTCTCAATTAAATGAAATTTTGAAGAAAAAATGACAGGATCACTGAATATTGTTGTTAATAGGGAACTAAACTGTCCGAAATAGCTTTGTTTTAACTTTTGAACTTTTAAAATTGATTTAAAAAAGCGAAGATTGAAAAAATAAGAAAACGTGCTTATAGTAAAACAAATACATAAATTGTTAGAATACTAATATAGGTAAATTAGGGGAATGATAATAAAACAAGAGATATCAAACCGAAAACGAACGCGCCCGAGATACAATAAACCCCAAATAAATTGAATATGTACCTGAAAAATAAGCAGAGAGAACAATTAGCAACATGAAAATTAAAAAGAAATTATTGAAATTATTATCAAATATTATCGAATTATAGTCGAATAACTTACATTCTTCTTGATACCTACTTCACTTCACTTCACTTCACAATTAATTATGCATGATATGGTTTTCGTACCACCAATGCAAATAATTACGCGACGCAGAATCCGTTAGTAATATTTGTTTAAAAGAATAGCGTCTCAAAAGTAAATCTACTTTTAGGGCAATTATCAAACCTGTTTCCTTCTGGATTCATATAGGAAATACTTAGTTCTTACCACATTCAGAATCTTCAAACTGTTCCTTTTTATCGCTTTTAGTTTATGTGATAATCACCATCTATTTGCATTTCTCCCTTTTTACCTTTGGTTCTAACAGGTATCAACGAACCGCAACATTGGCAATTTTCCAGGTAACAGCGGCTTACCCCCACCACTTTTTGCAGGTCGCGGGCAGGTATAAAAGGGCAACGCGCAAGGTGGTTAGTACTCAGCCGTGCCTGAGTCGTCCAGCAGCACCTCTACTTGTCTCTAGGTCCTTGGGTTAATTAAGATTGCACAGGGTGCTGGTCAAAATCCAGTCAATCCGAGTTCAAGGACGACCCCATCATACTATAACAATTAGTTGACTGTGTTATTATGCTTATTACGTTTATTTGGTGTTTAAAATATAGATTAATAATTTGGATTAACGCACTGAATAAAATAAAAATAAAACTGCTTTTCTATACTATACAGCAAATATACTGATGTCGGAATCTTGAAAATATTAAAATCAAAACAAAAACATCGCACACAAATATTCTACGTATACTATTGGCACTATTCTGCCGCAAAGTGAACACCAAAAGAATGTGCAAAGTAAACAAACAAGTGATAAGAAACGCTGCGCATGCTCTGCGGAGGTGAAACTGCGGTCACCTCAATCTCATCACTATGTTGGAACAAACAAATTTCGTGTGTTTGGCACGTAGGTACGCCATAGTAATAAATGACTACAATTTACCTTACAATTACTCAATTCATCCAAAAAACTAACTATAGCGTATATGTAATGAAAGAAACTTACTCCTACTTGCGTTGTGTAGTAATTTTCACTTGGATGCACTAGGTTTTACAAGAATTGTTGAATTTTCGGTGCATTTTTAATTGAACTGCAAATAGTCTGCCTGCAACGAACGAAATGACGCTCTTGAGTGCGTGATGCGCAAGTTCGCGCAAGCGTGCGTTGATGCGAACGATTTGAGACGTGTAAAAATATAACAAGTAAAAACACTTTAGTACCAGTTGAATTGATCATCAGAAGACTACATTTGACATTAAATACATTTACTTCTTCATACGGACTAAAATTCTACACATATTATATTTTAATTTTTCATAATTAATCTCAATTAAAAACACGATAAATGACAATATCAAGCCTGTAAATAAAATTTCCCATGCACCGTTAATGCCTCGAAATTTGTTTTCCCTCTGCACGTTGCCCATTGTTCATCAGGTGAATATGAACTAAGTAATTCATGCCACGTTGGCCCTTAAAGCAAAGTATACAATATTTATGTTAATATCATAAAGTCTTCGTACTTCTTCCATCCAAAATAAATTCAATCCCGCACTCACACAATGTGCAACATGCTTAATTAAGTACGCTGCAAGAGTCCATTGCTTCCTGCTTTGAATGACACAATAGTTTATGTCTAGTTCCTCATCCAACACGTTGTAATCTTCAATAAGCTTCACATTAATGAAATCATTAAATTCAGAGAAGGTATAACCAGACTCAAGACGTTCTACGGCAATCGCGGTGTTTTTGTTTTCTTTTAAATATGTTTGAAGTTTTTCAGGAGGTACTGTTTCGAAAACTTTACCCAATTGCTTAAAATTCGTCTAAAAATAAAATATTATGTTCGGTAATTAATTATACATTTTATCATTTTGTTACATCCATGAATCCTTTGTAATCGACGTCTCCTCCAATCGTTTTCATATTTTTGTTTAATAAATCTGATACTGTTTTCATATCTTTTTCATATCTATTAAACAAAAAATTTGTATTACCTAATTATTTATTTTTGAAATATTGACTTACATTGGTTTAATAATTAAACTAGAATAAGCGCTGGTATAAAATAAACTTAGCCACATTGTTCCAAAAAATAGCAAAGCATAAAATAATTTGCTTTTGATTTTAACTGATTGTTGGATGAATATTGCATAAATCATTATTAATGTTGTCGACATATTTTTATGTTTATTTCTGAAATAATCGATATTTTTTTTTTTTTTATTAATAGAAAGATTTTTTGATTACTTTATGCTAAAAATGTGTATTATCCCGAATGAAACAAAGTAGAATGCAATGTAGCATAACCAAACTATTGTATTAAACGGTGTAATTACATAAGCCAGCCCATAAATTAACCTTAAATATATTAAATTTACAATTATTAAAAAACAATTCTTACAAAATTTTACTTAGGTTTTGGTTTTATAAAATGCATTCGGTTTCCAACAGTACGAGTTAAAACTTGACCATAAATATAATCATTTGTTTTAGCGTAAATTGCCCCTAAAAACATTTAAGAACAATTACTTACATTCTAATGAAAAGATTGTATACTATTATTAATAATTACCTAAACAAATATCGGCTTTTTTGTTGCTATACTATACCGCATACCTGTCCCATTTGTTATATCATCACACATGGCCATAACGGCCTACTTCTTCAAGAATTTGATAATCAACGTGGTATTTTTAAAGAATGTCAGCATAAATTGCAATTCTCCGCCACGCATTGTTTCTGAAACATTTTTTTAAATTAATGCAAATACGTGTATGATTACTAAAGTACGAGCATATTTACTTAGATTAGTATATGGTTCAATATGATGAGTGGATAACACAATCCTTTTATTTTTAATACATCTGTACTTGAATAAAATTGAAACTTTTCAATTAACAAAGAGATATTAAATCCATTGCACAAACTTGTGATATAAATTTGGTTATTGTCGTTTTCTTTCCACGTAGCAAAATTATTTCTGTAAATTTTATAACAGGAATTTTCTTTTACCAGTAATAAAACATCGTGTATCTGTTCAAAAATCGGATGATTAAAAA